CCGTGTTGTTGTTAGAGCAAGATTTTATAACTGCATGCTTTACTAGGTGTATCGCCTGTTCAAGTTCATCAATGAACCAGAACAGAAGGAACTCTTTGGCAACTTGGTCATGGATAAGTTGGGCCACTCCGCATTGACCCTGACCGGCAATTCAAAGAAGGACCGACGTAGGCAATTGGGTGGTTTTGCTTATCAATGGCCATGTGCACCTTGCAGATCTCACACCATTCGCATCCCTTTCTGCATGCTGCTCTCTTAGGGATTCAGAGGAATCCCGAACAGTTCAACATCCTATGGCGGAAGCAGGTCTGTAGTCATCTGAACAAGGCCCGCAACTATGTGCAGAGCCAGTGCTTCAACCCTGTGAAGAAGTTTGTTGCGGAGAAGGGGACGGCTGAATTCCCCTCCATGGATGACATCTTGAAGATTATGAAACGAGACAAGGTGTTGATTACCCCAAAGGAGGATGACACTGATGAAGAAAAGGCTACTCATGAGGACCTGATGAGAAGGCTGCTGGATGGATGGAAATGCTTCCTTGCACAAGTGGCTGTCGCATCCAATGGTGGTGGCAAGGGATCCGCACGCTAGCACCATTTCGGAAGCAACATATGAGGGTGAGGTTTGCGTGCCTCCCAATACGGAAGCTATGGCTGTCCTCTTTTTTTGAGAATGGCGCCACTCCGGATCCTGATGCAAGGGATAAGGAAGGCAATCTTCTGAATTTGCCAGGAAAGTGGCCTGCATACTTCGACTTGACAAACAGGTGCAAGAGAGAAGAAGGCGGTCCCAAGGTCCAAAGCAGAAGATAAGGATGGAAAACATGATGGCCGGTACTCCAATGCAAGGGTGGAAATTGCGAATTTGGAGGGTGGACTGATGCGGACTTGCACGTTTTGAGGACTTGCGGCAGCAGGTTGTGGCTTCAAGAGCACAGCCTCATGCTCAAGAAGTAGAAGAGGCCATCCTTGCACGAGTCCGCATCGATGCCTTTGGTATGGTGGTGAAGATGATGGTGAGCCCCCAAGAAAAGAAGAAGAAGGCGCCGTCCGGGTGAAGCTTAGCTTGGGCTTGTAGGGGCCAAGTTCCCAAACTAGAGCCAAAGGCTGCCATTTGGCATGCTACGCTCCCAAATCAGGGGGTCCTTTGCCTTGCTTTCCCCCTCATTCCTTCTCTTTTGGCATTGCTACCATGGCGGCTGTTACCTCTTCCGTCATTGTTTGGTTGCCTCCCGAGTTGCTGTTTTTCATCCAATGCCACCCTGTTTTCCTGCCGCACCTTGTCTATCATGCGATGTTCGGTTACTTATTCGGTAACCTTTTCTCCCCTTTTATTCTGTTAACCATGACAATCTTGTCTCCCGATTGTTGTTGTTCAAACCTCTCGCTGCAGTATCCCAGTAGTATCCTTAAAATTTCTAACCCCAATATTATCCAATCTTCCCCTCTTTTGGTCTAGTTTCCCGAACTTTACTTAGTGATTAGTATCCTATGGAACTCTTAATTTGGAAGCACGTTTGCAGTGTTTTTGGATGCTTTGCATGACCGTTCAGTAGGAATTGCCCTTCCATTCGGCTGGTACTGGATCCTGCTTTATATGGTAAACATCTTTGTTCGGAGGGAAAGAACTATTTAAAGCCGATCCTTTTTAATTACAATGACCCAGACATGCTTCAAGTTATGCACGGTGTCCACCAACGCATTGTGAACAACGAGGTGTAGGTTTGTTAAACGCCGTACTGGATCATTGAGCATGCTTTAACAGATTTGTAAGTACTGTTTCATGGGGAACCAGAAGCTTCGGTGCATAATCCGCAACCTCCCTTCACGATTTGTATCGTAGGGTCGACCTTCGACTTTAATCGATAACCTACCTTGTAGATTGGTATCCTACCTTCAGGTGCGCTTCTCAGATGTGGACCCAGGAATGCCGCATCCTGCCCATCAACTTGATAGGTAAACACTTGGTCACATGTATTTTCCAAGACGACCACCACACCATTGTCACCATTTGGTAGGATTCGCTGAAACTGGTCTCTCCAATAGATACCTCCTAACAGTACAGCCTTCACCGTGGCACCTTCTTCTCCGGGGGCATACAACTCATCAAAGACTGAGCAACTTATGAAAGATAACTGCCAGGCCAAATCAATGGGATGATGCTAGCACCAGACAAACTTACCAGGATAAAAAGCAGCCACAAGAGGGTCATCTTGATAATCAACCGTATCCATGTTGCGGAAGTACTTCAAACGCCAATCTGTTGAATTGGGATTGTCCCAATAGCCAATGCTGGGTGGCATGGCTGGTTCATGGTTGTACAATGCGTGACTCATAGGGCCAAAGTAGTGGGGTAAATGATAAAGGTCAGTGTTCTGAGTAGGCAATGGATTGCAAGGGTAGAGTTGCCAAAATGGGAAGTAAGGTCCTTCATCTACAGAAGGTTGGCGGGTCATGTTGAGAATAACCGGAGAAATGGGAGGAAGAGGGCCCAACTCTTCTGTTGCAATACCGCGTTCCCCAGCACAGGATTCGGCTTTCCAGCCCTGGTTAGCCACGGTGTAGGCTTCATACGCTTCTCTTTCCGATTCTTGCACCAAAGGGAAGGTGGCCACCTTCATCAAGCCAGCAATACGTGCCAAGGCTCCCACGCGCAACCCAAAGTCAGGCAGTGTAACAAAAGGAAAGCTTTGGTTTTGGTTCTTGGCATAAGCTGTCATGTCCACTGCAATATTGCCAAGAACAGCAAAGCTCTGGTGTTCACCTCGTCTCAAACCCGCGCACAAGTTTGTCGCCCAAGTCACGAAAGTCTGACTCAAAATCATTCTGCAAACTTGAATGGATAAAGAAGTAGGCTAGCAGACACACCGCCAAAGCTACAGAAGCCAAGAGGAAGAACACCATCATCTTCAAGACACTCACAGCTCGGTTCTCGGCCATTGCAAGTTCTAAGGCCTGGTCTCCATGAGTACTTGAGCGTCCGGAGTTGCGAGAAAAGTGTGAATCTGCAACCGACATGCAGTCTTCATCCTGCATGGAGGGAAGGATTTCCATCTTTTGCTCCACCATGCTGCTGGAGGCTGGTGTGTAAATTTAGTTGAGTAAATTTAATGAGAAATCAAGCAAACAAAGCTCAAACAATGAGCTTGGAGCTTGGATGATGGTGAACAATGTGGTCTCTGTTTGGGTGGAAATATTGCGTCCCTCGGTTCTGAGTCGAGTCTCATTGGACCAAATGAACTTCAAGTCTGTGGTGCCGTAATTGAATACTTTCTGTTGCTTTCTTACCTTCATCTTATTGTAGCTGATTAAGGGAGGTATTAAGGGTCGACCGCAAAGGAATGCAAGAGCCTGCACTGATAACTGTCATCGTGTGAACATGTATGTATGTGGACAAAGGGCAATGCCCCTGGAGCGTGCCTCAATCGTGGGTGATGGGCAGTCGTGAGTGATTTCATTACTTAATGGATTCTGACGTCACTGACGTCAGTTGAGTCGTGACAAAATCCGCCCCTAAATTAGGGACGGGTTTCAAAAACGTCCCTAAACCTTTAGGGTCGGTTTTCGAAAAACGTCCCTAAATTAGGGACGTTTTGGAATTAGGGACGGGTTTGAAATCCGTCCCTAATTTTTAGCCATAATCCGTCCCTAAATTAGGGTCGGATTTAGGGACAGGTTTCATTTAGGGACGTTTTCGAAACCCGTCCCTAAATTTGGGTGGGGTTGTCAACCTTGTTTTCTACGGCTGGCACACGTACAATTGCTACTGGTAGGGTCAATGACCTCCACTCGATCGGTCTCTTTTTCGCGCAACTATTAGACTAACTAATACCACTTCGTACGGTAGTTTTCGAAACTCGAATCATCGACTCCACTTCACTCGCTTTGCATGGAATCTGGAGCTGCCATACTAGTAGAGAAGTGGAAATAGCTAGTACGAGCAGCCCAACATGGACGAGGACGAAGCCGACGACAGAGACGAAGTGGAAGAAGGCCCGTCAAAGGAGGAATGGAATGCAGTCAGAAAGCTACTGAAGGATGACGTGCTGTCAGGTCTTATTCCATATGTGCTAAAAGAAATGCGCCCAGCTGCTGTCTATCAGATGTATGCAGATGCAGCAAATCCCATTATTGAGTGTGTAGACTATGCCAACAAACGACAAAATGCGAAGTTCACTCTGATGCTTCGAACTCTTCGCAATAAGCATGCAAATGGTGATCTTGTAAACGAAGACAAGGCCAAGCCAATCGTATGGCGCAAGTCGGCAGCCAAGCAGTATCTCAAGAAAGCATTCCGGGAAGGCCTCATTCCAGACAATATTTCCACAAACGAGGATATGGAGGAAATTTGGAACGACCTTTGCAAGGATCAACCTGCGTTTGCGAGAATGGAATTTGATGCTGCTTTCATTCGTAGACTCCAAGGGGTGAGAGATGACTATCTAAAAAAGGTGGTGAGGCGCGACAATGATGTGGCTGCCTACTTGGCCGCAAAGCAGAACCATCCAACACCAGAATTCAACAGTCGTGGGGAGCCACAGTGGAATGGGTCTCAAGCCCAGAAAGACTTGAAAGTGCTTGTTGCCAGTGGTGGCCACGAAAACAAAAAACCCAAAGAGCTCTGGGAGTGCAGGAGAGTTCTCAGGCCTATCAAGTGTACCCCCTTTATATTTTCAGAGACCACATCTACCAGGAAGAGAGGCTGCTGAAATTTGATAACTACACTGCAGCGCTGAAGCAGAAAAAGATTGATAAGTTGCAGTACTAGCCTATTAAATTATTGACTAGCTAGCTAATAGTGAAAAACAAATTCTAATTTAGGGCGCTAAATATCAAAGAGAGGCTCGCCCTTTTCCATTTTGTACTGACGAGGACATTCACCGCCTCGAAGCACATTTGGAGCTTCTCGGCCACAGTGTAGCTGTCGTTTGGGTTGTTCTTGCAGCGGAAACGCTCACTGAGAACTTCAAATTTCTTGAGCTTACCATTGTAGATCTCATGACGTTGGCGGGCCCGTTGTCTTGAATTCTTTGACTTCTTCAGGGTCCAGAGTGTTCTAGTGCTCATTTCATTTGGAAACCGCGGTAGCCCTCATCACCGATGGCCTTCTTACCGGATGAGTGTAGTTTTTGCATGAGCCCCTTTTCCCGAAACATTTTGGCATCATTGTATGTTCCAGCTTTGTGTGGACCACTAAGCCAGATGCATCTGCTTTTGAAGAGGTCAATGCCCACCTCATAGTTGAATCCAGCAGCATGGTGCTTGAAGGAAAATAGGCAGGATCCTTCGGAACATCGGAGTCCCCAGGCTCCAGCGTAACAAGGTGAGTGCCATCAACAGTCATGACCCAGATGTCAGTCTGCTGAAATTCTGGCCAGACAATCTTCATTGATTTTAGAGATCTAATTTTGTCTACATAGAACCAATTAGCATTCCTAATAGTGTTGGCACATTTCTTCCACAGGCTCTCCCGCTCAGTCTCAGTTGGGTAGCGATATAGGAAATGCAGCGCCCAGTGAACTTTTCAATGTCAATACGATCTGGATCAATCCTGGCTTCTTCCACTGTTGTTGTTTGAAGATCTTCCCACACCTGAGCAGTGACAGTAGGATTGGCCGTGAAACCAGACCCAGTCCCTTCGTCTGGTCCAATACCAGATCAAGTCCCTTCATCAGGTCCAATACCCGATCAAGTCCCTTCGTCAGTCCACGTGCCGAACAAGGTCCCTTCGTCAGGTCCCACACGATCAAGCCCTTCGTCAGTCCACGAGCCGAACAAGGTCCTTCACAGTACAGAAGAGTTGGACTGCTGGGATTCCACGGTTGTGAAAGAGGAACTACAGTCAAAGCCTAACACTGGTACTTCCAAAATTGAAGACGAGT